TTTCTCCACCCGGAAGCTTGAAAAAGGCGTCAGACATGGTTTTCCGGTCCCTACACGTCACCAAGATTTTAAAAAATACCCAATATTGTGAGTGATTTTGTAGTATTTCCCTAACCGGAAGCCGCCATCTCAAAATCTCATTTCAAAACGGCCCCAGACATCGATGTCCGGTCTGTGCACGTCATCCCGATACCAAAAATAATATATTTGATAATATTTTCAAAAAACTTTTTTATGAAATAAATCCCAAGTAAGGGCCTGTTCATAAACTACGTAGACAGTTTTTTGGGATTCTTGCCCCCCCCCCCTCCTCCCCTGCGTAGACAATTGTACATGCAAAAAATTTAAAATTTGTATGGCCTGTGGATAATTATCAACCCCCCCCCCCCCCCTATTAACTGTCTACGTAGTTTATGGACAGCCCCTAATGGGTTTTTGTTACGTCTGGTTCGATTTACGAACCGCCGCGGCGGTTTGGTTCGTAAATGAAGGTTCCAGTGTATTAATAATTAAAAAAAAACACGATCGGAAAAAAATCTTCGCTCGCAATCGAAAACAACAAACAGCAAAAACTGAAAGGGTCTAGCACAGACCGAACATTTTCAATTAATTTTAATGATATTTTTATGCATGATTTCAAACATGTGAACGCAGATTATGTTTAAGAAAAAATTAAAATATTTTAATCTACCGTTCCGATTCAAATTTCGGACGATTCAAATTTCGGACACTTTCATTTTTAATTAAATATTACATCCAGTTAGAAACAAAGTAATAATGTTAGATGATCGTGGAGGGCACTAGTCAAAAAAATTTAAAATTTACAAGACATGTGGATCATATTCGACCGAGATAATCAACTTTTAAAAGTGTCCGAAATTCGAGTTTAAGTGTCCGAAATTTGAATCGGCACGGTACCTTGTTTGACATGGAATACGACTCGAAACGCATGTTTATGTAAAAAATAAAAACCTGCGATTAAACTGATAAATGAACCTACAAAAACTGTGTAGGCCCTTTTCGAAAAACAAAGCAAACTGACATTTCGGCGAATGAACACCGAGTCACTTTGCAACTCACCTAAGAATGAACCTCTCACGTCACCCGAGTCGACTGTCGGAATAGAGTGAGAAGAGTCATGTGACTGCGAGGTGACAATTGTCGTCTCACCTCATTCGCCACGCAGAATAACCCTGGAAACGTGTTCCGGGTGTTTCCGTTCGCAAGCGACCTCCCACTGCACCGACGCGAACAGCGAGAAGTCCGGGATTTCGAGCGGTACACCGGCCTCGATAAAACGTTTAAAGGATAGATTAAAGACAAAAAACGCGGTTACTGGCGTCGGTTCGTCGATGGTTTGTCGCGAGAGACTTCCGTTCTCATGGAATGTCGGCAGGAGAATGCGAAAAGCGTCATCACCGGTTAACGAAGACAAGGAGTACTCAGACAGTTGGATTCGGATTCGGTGTCGGTTCAAACCAACGTTCGTGATCGTCCGTCGGGTAGTAACGAAATAGATTCCCCGTTTTCGATGGTGGAATCCTCACTTGCTCTCCTTTCATGTAACAACTCAATTCCAGGAATGGATAGAATCAAGTTCAACTTGCTCAAAAATCTCCAGGCGTCGCGAAGAGACGGTTGTTGAACTTATTCAATCAATTTCTGGAGCACAACACTGTTCCGGATGACTGGAGGCAAGTAAGAGTTATCGCCATTCGAAAACCCGGTAAATCCGCGTCGGATTATAACTCGTACCGTCCCATCGCGATGCTGTCCTGTATACGGAAATTGTTGGAGAAAATGATTCTTTTTCGTCTAGACAAATGGGTCGAGTCGAATGGTTTACTTTCAGGTACGCAATTTCGGAGAGGCAAAGGAACGAGCGACTGCCTTGCGTTGCTTTCAACTGAAATTCAACTGGCCTATACGTAAGAACAGCATATGGGTTCAGTTTTCTTTGACATTAAGGGGGCTGACCGAAATCCGAGTTAAATTGAGTACTTTCTCCAACTGCTCCTATACTATCACCTTAGTTTGGGTCCCATCTCATTGCTCAATTCCGGGTAATGAGAAAGCGGACTCGCTAGCTAAGGTGGGCGCTATGGAAGGCGATATTTTTGATCGACAAATCGCCTTTGCGGAATTTTTCTCAATTACCCGTCAGCAAGTGCTCACCAACTGGCAAACACAAATGGAATGAAAGTGATCTGGGAAGATGGTTACATTCTATTCTCCCACAGGTATCAAACAAGCCGTGGTTCAAAAAATTGGGCATGAGCCGTGACTTTATACGTGTCATGTCAAGGCTCATGTCCAATCACTACACATTAGACTCGCATGTCTTCCGAATCAGGTTTGCAGGCAGCAATTTGTGTGCTTGTGGTAGTGGCTATCACGATATCAAACACGTGCTTTGGTCATGCACCCTCCATTGTGTTGCTAGATCCGAGTTATCCGCATCCCTCAGGGCCCGAAGAAAACAACCTTTGCTTAGAGACATCTTGGCGAGCCGTCTATTTAAATTTAATTTACGTGTTTTTTAAACGGATAGATCTAAGGATTTAGTAGTTAGTGTCATCTTGTGTTCTCCCAATTTGTTAGCTGCCCATCGGTGTACCCCCATGTTTGTCTTTTTCATCAGAGTGTCGCTTAGTTCGCGATCAAGAGCACATTGCTCTTCAAACCTTGTGTTCTCAATCCCTACCCTTCCATACGTTTGCTACAATTTGTTATCCCTAACCTCGAGATAGCCGCTAGTAATCGGCCCCCGCTTTACTAACGTTAGTTTTAAGTAATTTTGTAACCCAAACGATGAATATCGGCTCCGCAAAGCTACGGCAAATGAGCCTGGAAAAAAACGCATTATGATGGGGATTACAGTTGGCATTACAAAAATATAACCCATTTCAGAACAGTGAAGGGAGAAACAAAGTTTATATTTGCAAACATCCGGACCAACTCAATGAGGAGCATCCCTCAAGGATCGATTCCAGCAGTGAACTGTGCTGCATGACGAAAACACCCTTCGGGGAATGCCTCGATTGCATCATACCGGTTGATGCTGGTGATAATATTATGTTTAAATGTTTAATTTTTTCCAATAATTATGTGGCAATAACAAAAATTTGACTTGTTTCAATGATTTCGCGTGAACGCTTTCTAACACACCAAGGGGTCTGGGTTCAATCCCAGCCGAGGTCGGTGGGATTTTTCTGAGGCATAAAAATCTCTGGTCACGTCTTCCTTCGGAAGGGAAGAATAGCCGTTGGTCCCGGCCTATGTTGTATTGAATTGAATGAATGGGTGCGATATCCTACGCAGGTGTGGAAGCTGCCTTCCTGCACATTCGGTTGCCGTCAATGGATGGCAATCGATGTCCGTCGGTGATTGGCACTAGATTGCGGAACAGAGACCGACGTTAAATAAAGGAAAAATGATTTCGGTTTATAATTGCAAAGATTTCAAGAGGTTCTTTATTTTATGACAGGCAGCCCCATGAAGCAAAACCAAATCAATAACTCTGGTTCGCGTGTAAAGGGCCGTAGAAAGTTTGTTTACAAATGCTTTTGTGCCGTTATCAAATGTTATGCCAGACTTATTAAAATTAATGCCACCCACTACTAGAGTTTTTTCTACGAGCTAGCATTGTTAATTATGAGGGGTGCGCTTTTATTGGCGAGAAATCGACGTCTAAAGACAATGTTTACAAAAGCAATTACGCCCCTTTGAAATGTTGGCATTGAAATGATCTTGTCAAATCAGATGCAGTGAAGCTGGTATGTACGGCCAATGAAATCAACCCAAATTAGAGTACAGTTTACTCATTTTTTTTTCTTTGATTTGTTTTCAGTCGATCTTGATTTCCGTACCAATGCCACCAGCGCCAGAGAGGTAGTTTCCTCACCTGCACCCTACCTATTGACCCATCAACTCATGGACCGGGGTCCAGCGGGCTTACTTCCCGAAGGAAGGCGTGATCACAGATTTTATGCCTCAGAAAATCCTGCCGGTGCCGACTGGGATTGAACCCAGGCCTTTAAGGGTGAGAGGCAATCACGCTTGCCAGTACACCACCGGCGCCACTATAAACTGATAACTCATAGTAAATTTACCTCATGGTTTTCCAGGTTTTTAGAGGAAATAATTCCCAAAAATGAGAAAAGTAAAGATTGGATTCTCTTAGTCTAGACTTTTCGTTAATTTTCTCTATTTTCGGGAAGATTTTTGAGGTTTTCCACAGGAAAACACGCGGCAAATTTACTCATCGCTGAGTTCCTGCACTTTTTGCGATTTATGAGTAAACTGAACTCAACTTTGGGATGATCTCATTGGCCGTGTACGCAGCAGATCTGGAACTTGACCTTTGAGCGATTGAATATCCGAATGGAGTAGTCAATCTCAAAATGTCTCATGCACACTCATAGACAGTAAAATTAATTTGTCGTTCTCCAAAAACACTTTGCGATACACAAATGTGTATGCACTGCACATGTACACAGGTGTTGAGCTCATCAATTGTAAGCACCTAACTCTTTTACGACGACTTGAAACCTACTGCACCGGTCCGAGTCGTTATCACGAAAAATAAAAAAAAATATTGCGAATGAAACGAAGAACACATCGAGGAACCACACCTCAGCTTTGATAAGCCAAATAAAATTTGTTGGACATTACGGAATGAGTGTGTCACTTGAGCACAATCAGTAAGGTGCAATCAGTAAACCGCTGACTTCTAGGAAATTTGAGTCCATTGCTATAAAAAAAAGGATTTTCTAATTAATCACACCCTGGTCGATGATATCAACCTGCGAATAGCTTCCCTGTTGACTTTGAGTTGCCTGTGCTAGTGGTTCAACGAGCATATCTTATCTGCTATCGCGTTATCGAGAACTGAGTGTCTCGGTTCGAGGGCTTAATTCTCCGCGAGTGAAATTCAGGGTTCGGCTCTGTGTTTCAAATTAATCGATAGACTGAAATGATTCAATTTCCGTTGGACTTACACTCTGCTTGTCGCTGGTATTGTTCTTGCTGTCATCGTCCTCGACGGCCAGAACCAGTGCTAGGCAAATCGCCACGATTGTAATTTTGACAAGAATCTTCATTTTAGCTTTTGTTTCACTTGGATCAGAATTTACACACTCATCACAGATATCCGTTGGAATTCACTTAATCACGATTTAACTGCTACCAATTGTCTGTTATTGACTGGTAATTGGACTAATTTTCCTAACTGTTCTGCAATCACTCTGATGAATCACTTTTCCAAATGCGCACTTGCTAATCCCACACGTCGATTGTCTGGTTGGTTGTAGGTTGCTCTCCTCCAGTTGGAAGACTTCCGTCGAAGTGTCGTCGATTCGATCACTCCTATCGCGTTCCACCGTCGAAATGAGCGCTCCAATCGCACCGGTTGCATTATACCTGGATCGCTTTGGCTCCCCCGATAACAGGGCATCTTATCTTATCTTATCGAAATGTAGGTTGCTCTCTACCCGATTCACCAACAACGACGGTGCGAATGTATAGAACCCCACATAGTTTCTAACGAAATTTGAAATTACGCGTGTTTACCTCGCGATTAGAATTCCGTTTCGCAACGCGCAATCGAAGACGAGATACGACAAAGGGAGATTCTTCTCTGCTCCTCAGCTGTTGATCGATGAATGAACATGGATCGCAGATGGAATTTTTGCTTGGCTATCAGACGAACGATTCGCGCGTGCTTCTTGCTGCTGCTTGGATTAGAAAACGTTTCAAATGCTGACCGTTCACTAATACAAGTGATGCTCGTTACCAACGGTAGCGTCGTCGCGACGCGGTGTCGGCGGCGTTTGGGTAGATTTCAAGGTTGTCCACACCGCAACACACCTGTGTGCCACCTTCTACCATGCCGTACGTACAGCACATGTATGTATTGCCCTTATTTGTAAACAATCAAATCGAAGGCGTCCACATTGAAGTGATGGAGCGTGCGCGAGCGCGAGGTGCTACAACCTCGCCGAGCGAGTTGCTAGAGTAGCTAGAAGTACCTACGTCATTCATGCGATTTCGACTCGACTTAGAGAGATTGATTGACAGGCAGCGCACACTAAGCTCTTTTGTTGCTATTAGTTACAGATCGAAAGTGGGCTATGACCACCACTGGGACATGGTTCATTGAGAGAGATCATTGCTGATTTTGTTTGCGATCAAATAATGCGAGTTCTTGTTCGGCGCATTGGCGTATCGTCGACCGAGGATCGGTAGATATTGTTTATTTTTTTGCTGAGTTGGAGCGATTAGTTATGCGCGGCGCACCATATATACAAGAAGCTGATTCATGCGATAATGTTTGTGTATAAGTTGTGTTGCGAGAAGTTCCTGTTTCTGCCCACTACCCGTATGGAAGATCTCTGCTGTGAAGAGAATAATTATTTTTGCAGATCGATGCCTCAAGCGGGTACAGGAAGAGCTCAATTTTAGTGCTGCAGATTGTCATTGAATGGAATAATTGTTTCGATAAGATATTCTCATGTTTTCTTCGATGTTTAATAATAAGAAATTGGGCTACACACTTAGAAATTATCGCGGACTTCGGCAATTTTCACAAAAATCTCAACAGCTGAGCTGTTTGATACATTCTTGGAAAAATGGTCATGAAAACAGCAAAATGTAACAAAACATTAAGGTACTTTATTAGACATCCCCTTGGTTCCTCATATAAATTGTATATGCAACAGTAGGGTATAAGTTGCTTAACGAAATAACGCTGAGTTTTGCTGCTAATACCAGCTAACCTGCAAAATACACCACATAGTGTTAAAAAAGTATAAGGGTCTGTGCCTAGGGGCACGAACGGAAGCTTGACGTAGGACCGCTATTGGACGGAACAAATGTGAAGAGCATTTAGTTCTTTTAATTGATCGATTATCTTAACTCTTTCCGTTTTTGAATTCTAGGCGTACCAAATTTGTAGTATTTTTTTTTTCAAAGAGAAAATTGATGAAGCGAATCGATCAAAATCGCTTGCACCCCTGCTTCCAAGTTTGGTTACAAGATTACAACTCTGGAGAGCATTTTCAAGGCTGATAGCAGTATTAAGCAATACAAATTGTGAATTAGTGACTAAAATCATTTAAAAAAGTGACTAAAAAGTGACCAAAATCATTTAAAAAAGTTACCAAAATGTGACTTATCAGAAAACTTTCAGAAATAGAATCATGCAAATTGTTTTGTCAGCCATCCAAAAAAGGTAGGCATCGATTTCGTATCTGTACACATTCGTCAAATGTTTATATAGCAAGATCTTGCACAACTAGAAAAACTAACAACACTGTGTAACACGACTTTCAATAAAATAAATATTTTATCATACTTGAAATTCTTATGGTCTCCTTAATTTTCAAGACTTGACCCATTTGAATAAATTTTGCTTCTATCTTTGACAATACAGCAGAAGGACTAGCCTATGTTGGCCGCTTGAACACTGGATTCCGTATGTATTGTTTCAAGATAGTTGTAGAAAAAATGCTGTGACGTGTGCGCGTAGATACATCCGCGTAGTAAACCGATTGAATAAGTAAATCCGTTTCGAACGAAATATCTAAATTATGTAAGTTACGAAAACCGCGCGAATTCCGAAAGCCGTGCGAGACAACCGAAGCGAGAAAAAAAGGCTTATTATCATTTAAAGAGTGCCACCAAAATAAATGTGATAGCCTATGTTGGCAAGTTGATCAATTTTGGTTTCCTCCCTAAATATTCTATTTATTTTACTGTTGAGCTTTGTTTCAATTTAGTTATTTTACCTCACGTATCAATCATTTCAAGATTTCGCGACCGTACCGAACAAATTCTATACTACAGAAGCTCGAAAAAAAATGAAACTTTTGGTGAGCTCTATCGCATTGCGAATCACTTCTGCGTAAGCTCCGTAGACGTAGGCGCGTTGATTCCGACAGCTGCGAAAATTTAAACATGCATCACATCAGGAAAGATCGATTTTACGTATGGTTTAGTTCATAGATTAACATTGACTGCTGTTTACAAATGTAAGTACTTGAACACTAAGAAATAGGTTAACTCAAGTGCTTTAACCGCATATATAAGAGATTTCACGTATTGAGAGAATAATATAGTAATCGAGTACAACAAACTCAGGGGAATACAATACCTCCAAAAGTTTAAAAGCTATTAATTCTCGATGAACATTTCAAATCGTCCTATCTGCTTTGATCGATTCTCTTCATCGACTTTCTCTTTTCATAACCACTGTTATGCAAACAGAGTTCACGCTAATTTTACCACATAGTTTGATTAAGGAGGTTCTTATCTAGCGTCCAAAACGTCAAATACAACAGGGAAAGGTTTTGCAGCTGAGTTATTGACGAAAGAGAAAGTCGATGAAGAGAACCGATCAATGCAGATAGGACCTTTTGAAATGTTTATCTAGAATTGTCACATACCTCTACTTTTACTTATTTCCTAAACTATTCCTCTCCTTGTTAATCTGCTAAATGCTATTGGTCTGCCTGCGTTTTCTTTTTAAAGTTCAAGGCTAAATAAGAAGATTTATTCTACAACTTTAAAGGTTAGTTGCCTCCCTAAGCGGACCCCCCGCATTCTAATTCTTTTGTTAATCTACTTAATGTCATTAGACTTTCTGAAGTTTCTTATTTAAGTTCATTTGATGATTATGATATCTCATTAGTCTAATTTAATAAATTATCAAAAGCTCTAATTCACCTAATCAAGCATAACACATGCTTTATTAAGTGCCTGCACTTGTGCTTGTAATGTAAAATTAAACGTGTTTCAAGTACTTTTGATTTTGACCTATACCTATTTATTATATCTTAGTTCGACCCAAGTAACACCTTCATGTGACTAAAATGCTTCATTTTGAAGTTAGTTTCCTAGCTGATTTTTTAATTATATAGGGTATATGCTCCAATTACGCTCTCACGTTTCCACTATGTCGCACCACAAAAATACATATGGGTATGTCACAATAGAAGCACACCACAGTGGAAATCTCGAGCCATTGTTCAAACACTTTTTTTTTTTTTTTCCTTTGGTTTGTTTTTTCCGTCGATCTTGTTTTCCGTGCTGAGCACCAATGCTACCGACGTGCCAGGAAGGCAGCTCCCACACCTGGACCCTACCTATCGACCCATCAACTCATGAACCGGGGACCAACGGCTTTACTTCCCATCCGAAGGAAGGCGTGATCAGAGATGTTATGCCTCAGAACATCCCGGCGGCGCCGACTGGGATTTAACCCAGGCCTGCTGGGGTGAGAGGTAATCACGCTTAGCTAGTTCAAACACTTATCCAAATCAAAATGAAGCACATATAAGATAAGTTACAATACCATGTACAAAAATGATGTTTAACATTGTTTCTTGAGTAAAACTTCAATGAAAACAACAATGAAAGCTTGTCACGCAAATAGAAGGAGCACCGTTGGGCACTTTCTGAAATATTTCAATAGTATAATTACCTTGCAAACCCAAATAAATCTATCTGCGTAAAAATAAATAAAATAAGAGTGATTTGCGGCAAAACCCGCCAGCATCACACCCAACGTCAGTGCCTATACGTAAGCGTACTACGACGCGGCTCTCAATAAAAGGAGTAACAAGTGTGATACTATCACTGCTAGACTAGATCTTTGGTTCTCTCATGCAGTGGTTTATCAGAGAGGGGAAGCTTAGTAATCCCCATTGCCTGCCCATGACGCCATTCTATCGCGGCATGAGCCAGCAACGCCGACCATAAACCTACCGTCTCCAACACTCCACTATAAAGCATGAAATTAAGCCCGCCCACCAACAGCAAGGTGCAAAAACTAGCCAAGGGGAGGGAAGAAGACATTGCCTAATTATTAGAACTATTTCCGGAATGAGGAATGAAACGTCGAGAGAGCGTTTTAAAATATTCCACACAAATAATATAGATACGACGGTAGGAAAGCGCCATTACAAAGGTTGAACACAAAAAATCTGGACACGAAAATCTTGTTAGGGGTTAAAATGCGTTTTATTTTTCATAGTTCAATGTAACAGCTATACATTTGTAGGTATTATGCTTATTGTAAGACCATTGTTTCAGTCTTCCTTCTTACCATAGACCATTTCTCAAACTTTTCTTTGTACAAAGCCCATCATCTTTTGCACGAGCCCTGTTCCCACTTGGCTGCCAAATTCCATTTCCGCTTGAAATCTTTCAGGCCAATTGCAGCTCCACCCTTCTTCTACAGTTTGTGCTTCACAATTGACCAGTATTCCTCGATTGGCCTTAGTTCCGGAGACTATTGGCTGTACCACTGTTTGGTGGAATTTGAGTAGTGTCAGCTTGCCAAGTCCGGCCAGAATAAGCAATCTACCTCATACTGCTCCAGAAAAAGGCACTTATTAGGCACTCCTCCTGGTAAATTTGTTGGTTCATGGTCCCAGTTTCGCTTTTCAGTCCACAACTGCAGATTGCTTGCCAGACAAGGAACTTTTTGGGGAATTTAATTCCTTTTTGATTT